CTTAAAACTGTTTTAACAATACTTCGACACTTCACTGCTGAAGAGATTTTTTTATGAAGAAAATTTGTGCGCGTGTATGTGCGTGACAACCGTAACTGACCTAGTTACTAGGTAACCGTACGTAAGTAGATGTAGTAGAGATACATGTTTAAGGATACTATACTGTTGTAAGAATTAGGAGTTTCAGATGTGATCCACTTGGGTTTAATACTAAGTTATGTTATTTATTTATACTTTGATTTATTTGTTGTTGTTTTTTGTACTTATTCATTTAACGATTTACTTACTCATCAATTTGATTATGTATTCGCCTATTTATTTACATAAAAAGTTAGTTATGTTTATTTATAGTGGCTTGTCTGGCATTACATCTGTTTAACAATACTATAGTTAATGTTACATTTTAGGGACTGGTTGAATTAAAGAAAAATTAATCTGTTTGTTTTTTATCTTTAAAAATGAGCAATTCAACTATTACTGTATTATTAAAGCATTTTCTTTTCACGTGTTAAAATAACTAAAGCTTTATTAGTTGTTTGCAAACTAAATTTGTTATTTCTTAAAACGTTAAACTATGATATCGAAAAAACAAATGGCGAACTAGCGAGCTGATTAGTTTGTTTGTTTTTTTGTAATTAAGCACAAAGCAACACAATGGGCTGTCTGTGCTCTGCCCACCACGGGTATCGAAACTCAGCATCTAGCGTTGTAAGTCCGCAGACATACCGCTGTGCCACTGGGGGACGAGTTGATTAGTTAATATCTGCATTCTATTCTTGTTAGTTGAAATTAGCAAAAAAAAAAAAGTTCATCATTGCACGATTATAGTTCCATAGACTTCGATTAACTTCAAATATGTTTTTTAAACAAGACCTTTAATATGGAATTTATTTGTAGATGGCCAATAAAAAACTATTTAAATCGACCACAATAGTTTTTCTTAAACATTCTTTAATACATTCGTGACTGCATTTTTATCTTTTACTAGTGATTTTATTTTGGATATCACAGCGTATGGTCCATTGCTTTGCATATGAACTCTCAATAGTTATGTAATATACACGCTGACCAAATAATCCTCTACACAGTGATTCTGAACGTGGGGCGCACGGCCCACAGGGGGGCAATTTGAATATATTGGGGGTAATTTGAAAATACTACAATAAGAAAATGTTTTCATTTGGGTGTGAAGAGCGAAACACGTTCCGTGACTCAAAACTATATTTCTAAGTTTTACATTATATTATTATACCTTTTCAACACCAAATTTGTATTTATATTAAGGGGGCATCAATTTTTTTTAGGTGTCGAGGTGGGGCATGGAGCAAAATAGGTTGAGAACCACTGCTCTACACTTTAAGTTTGGAATAGCTATTCTAGTCTGTGTTTGTTTGTTTGAAGTTAATTACATCTATCTGCCCTCCACGGGTATCGAAACCCGGTTTTTGCGTTGTAAATCCACAGACATACCGCTGTGCCACTGGAATGCTCTAGTCCTATGTTCAGTGAAGGTAAGTCCACAGACATCCCGCTGTGCCACTGGGATGCTCTAGTCCTATGTTCAGTGAAGGTAAGTCCACAGACATCCCGCTGTGCCACTGGGATGCTCTAGTCCTATGTTCAATGAAGGTAAGTCTGATTCTTTGATTTGTTAATAGTCAAATAAGCACAAAGAGCACAGATAAGACAGTAATTGTGACGTATTTTTATTAATTATGCCTTCTATACCAATAATACTCAGTGGTTTGTAAAATTTTTGTTTTATGTTAATATAATTTCTCTCTGATCATACTATGTATTTGAACAGGGAGTAATCATGTTTTACGGAAGTATAGTGAGGAATAATAACATAGTAAGAAGTTTATGGAATTGGTTTGAACTTCGTGCAAAGCTACGCGAGGGCTATTTGCCCTAGCCGTCCCTAGTTGTGAAAGACTAGCAGGCAACTAGTCAAACACCACCAACCGCCAACTCTTTTACCAAAGAATAGTGGGATTGACTGTGACTATATAACGCCACCCATGGCTGAAAAGACAGGCACGTTTGGTGGGACGGGGATTCGAACCCGCAACCTGTATATTGCGAGTCGAGCTCCCTAACCATGCCGGATTTTATAGAATGCGATATATGGAATTTGACACTATTAATTACTGGGTCTATTACTGGAAAATCGACAAAAAAAGATCACAACTTTCAACTATTGTTGGTAACAATGTTAGACATTACATTAACAATTAAAGGTTACTAGACCACCGTGACCCGTTGGGTCAACCACTATTCAGAGGTTATGAAGAATTCAAGCTAATTTCAATATTGCACCGAAATGAAGGTTTATTTTGAGATAATTTAATTCAATATTTCAATCCATTCGTGTTATTCATAATTCAAGAAAATATATTTGATTGTTGTCATCTTACGCCTTTTAATGAAGATGGGAACATTGACAGGGAAATAATATAATAGCCAATGCTCGGCAAGAGGTTTTCGACTTGATTTTTATTTTATTACCTCGTCTCCATAGTTACTATTTGCAAATAGTCAATAATATTGTAGGTCTATTTTGTTAATGTTCTTTCTACTCACCGTTATAACACATTTTCATCTCATCATTTAATTTCTGTTGTGCATATATTGTTGTATAAACGAAGTTTTATAATAATGGAATGTACGAGAAGTGACCCGAAAAACAGGGCTAACTCGGTAACCCGTGGCCCGATTTTAACGAAACTTGTATTATTCTGTTTTTATTCTCATTTCTATTCATTTCATTACAAACTTGGCGCTATTGTGCGCCGTTTTTGCTGTATTTAGTTACAGACAAGCACACACACACAAACAATCTCAGAGGTTTAGTTGTATATAGATGTTTGGAAATAAGAAATGTAATATATATATATATATTTACGAAAATATAATATTTTTTGGCAACTAAGTAGGCTTACTAGCAAAAAATAGCATATTTTCTTTTGAATAACATTTTTCATAATATAGGGACAGATTGGTCTTCACATCTTGCAAGTCGAGATTTATACGTATTCAAAGGTCATCGGCTCTGTACCTTCTGATAAAGTCTATTCAACAACAAATAGGATGATAACACCTTTGATTTAAAAACGAATAACAAAAAGGCTTTGCTGTCAACGCGTGTACAGTTAATTTTGTTTCTGAAGCCTGTAAACAATGAGAATTGTACATGTATGTTTTGTTTGTGGACGAGTGCACATACCCTCCAAATAGATAACAATGATTTTTGTTTCTGCTCTGACCTGCACAGGTGTTGCTAATATTTTATCCGAGAAGCATACTAATGATAAAGTTGTAGTCCATAAAAAAAAGTTCGCTTTATGTACTTGCTGTCGTATTTTTTTCAGTTGTTGATCAATGTCGTCAATTAAGAATACGTGTTGATTTAGCAGTATGGCCAAATAGTATGCTATTTAATCCCTAACGGTTGTTTAAGTCCTTCGATTTCTGATTTGTGTTTATACTTCTGGTGGGATCCATTCATTGCAACATACTGAGTAATTTTGTATGTGTTGCCTGTTACAATATACGGTGTAAAGGACTGACCGAAAAAAAAAGGTTGAAAACACTATTTTTTTGTGTAAAACTATATACAAGATCATAATAGTAATTAATGGTATTAATTGAAATATCGTTGTTCACATTTTATCCTATTGTGTCTGACTCGCATGTTGTTAGAAATCCTGTAACCAACAGTCACGGACACACAAGCAGTTCGGTGCATAAATAGTTTTTTGGTTTTTTTCCGATATTCCTTTTGCGGACCGTTGAGCCGATGGCAGATCTTGCTCTGCCATCGTTTCTAAAGCTGTTTCTTACGTCAAGGATGCAACCCATTTGATAGCCTTCCCTCTTTGAAAGGACGAGCATGTTTGGTGTGACGGGGGTTCGAACCCGCGACCCTCAGCTTGCGAGTCGAGCGCCTTAACCACCTGGCCATGCCGGGCCAAATAGTTTAGAAAATGTGTTTAAAAAGTCGGTCAAAAGTCTGGACCCCATCAGTAATTCTAGGGGCAAGATATATTTATTATTTAATCTTTGTACTTTCACGAAAACCTATGTGTTTGTTGTATTTTCGCCCTGACATTGTTGTGCGACTACAAAGCACTTTGTTTAGAAGTCGGCGAGCATCACATAAAACCTACATCTGAGTTTGTAGTCGGCGTACAACACATAAAAATAGGCTTAGGACTATAGGTAGTGTACAACACATAAAATTAGACCTAGTATTGCAGTCGGCGTACAGCACATAAAACCTAGATCTGTGCTTGTAGTTGGCGAGCAACATGTAAAACCGAGATTTGGGCTTGTAGTCGGCGTACCACACGTAAAACCTAGATTTGGGCTTGTAGTCGGCGGGCAACATTAAACCTAGATCTGGGCTTGTAGTCGGCGGGCAACACATTAAACCTAGATCTGGGCTTGTAGTCGGCGTACAACACATAAAACCTAGATCTGGGCTTGTAATCGGCGTACAACACATAAAACCTAGATCTGAACTTGTAGTCGGCGGGCAACACATTAAACCTAGATCTGGGCTTGTAGTCGGCGGGCAACACATTAAACCTAGATCTGAACTTGTAGTCGGCGGGCAACACATAAACCTAGATCTGAACTTGTAGTCGGTGTAAAAAAGATAAATCCTAGATACATGTTCCCCTATATGGGGCGTAACTTTTAAACAACTCAGTAAATTAAGATTTGTTTGTAATTAAGCACAAAGCTACACAATGGGCTATCTATGCTCTACCCGCCACGGGTATCGAAACCCAGATTCTAGCGTTTAAGTCCTCAGACATACCGCTGTGCCACTGAGAATTTCTATGGCGATATAGTCTTTGATGAATGCTATAAAATTATGTGTTATAAATCTCTGAATTTAAACTGTGTTTGCTAAAAAAAATTATTATTTTGCATTATATTGCTAACGTGATTTCGTTATTCAAAACTGTATTGTTTTTTTTATATATATATAGGTGTTTTACCAACTCAGTCAGCAAAGTATAAATACGTTGGGGATACCATAGACAGTGATTTGCCACCAACTCGATCATCTGCATTTCGAGGAGCTGGAGGAACCCTACCCAATCCTTCTGTGCATCGAGAAGATAAGTTGAGTAGTAGAGCGGACCAAGTCAAATATAATCAAGCTTCAGCACCTGTAATTAAAAAAAAAGGAAATCCTTCACGGTCTGCTGAAGTAACACCATTCACTTATTCCAACAAAGAGAACCGTACATCGCATAGTGAAAATAAAATAACCACAAGAGAGAACCGTATATCGCATAACGAAAATAAGATAACCACAAGAGAGAACCGTACATCGCATAGCGGAAATAAAATAGCCACAAGTGAGAACCGTACATCGCATAGCGGAAATAAAATAGCCACAAGTGAGAACCGTACATCGCATAGCGAAAATAAAATAGCCACAAGAGAGAACCGTACATCGCATAACGAAAATAAGATAGCCACAAGAGAGAACCGTACATCGCATAGTGAAAATAAAACAGCCACAAGATCCCCGACCTCGTTCGTTTCGACCGTCAATTCGACCAGGCCGAAAAACCAAGGGGTCTTTAGTGGCAACGCTTCAAAACGATCTGAGGGGTCCAACATGCCTTTGAAAGAAAAAGATAAAGCTCTGACTAGCGATGAAAAATTCGATCGTAAGTGGAGTTATATATTTGTATGTATGTGTGTATTTAACATCCTGAATGATGATGCTTGTTTTCAGTACTATTCAATTAAATTGTCAACATACAAAAATTGGTCTAAGTTTCACGAAAATTTCTTTATTTTTATGATTTTTAACTGTTTATAAGACATCTTTATATTAGGCTTCTATTTCACAGACAAGGAAAGAATGTGAAATATCCTTGCCTTTGATATATTTATTTATTTCACACAATTACGCTAAAAACAAATAATGTCACGCATAAAGGACAAATAAATTAACCTAATTAAAAAATTTAAAGTGTTAGAATGAGAAAATACATCTTAGAACCAGAGGTACTTTCGTAATAGTACTTAAACAGCGGTGGGGATTTAACCTCGATTCTCGTGTGAAATTGACTTGTGATTTAAAATTATAAGCAAATATGGGCTGTAGTCCACAAGTCCCACACTTAAAAACTATTATTTAGTGTCTGTAGCAAAGCAAGTATGTGCTTGTGGAGGGGTGGGTGGGTAATCTTAATGTAGAAGAGGAGCAATAACATGAAACGAGTCATTAAAACAGACACTAAGGTTAAGTAAGCTAAGTTCCTGTAGTTGGCATTTCGTATACATAAAAACGATAGATGGACAGACAGACAAGTAGCCGTTTCGATCAAGCGTTTCTGTTTATTATGTCGTACGTTTAAACAGTTGTGTGTATTTAAAGATACGCTTCATTCACGCAGTTATGGTTAGATGGAAAGTGTAACCGGCTTCTTTACGAGATGTCTTCATGCTGACTTATCAGGGTAACACAGTAAAAGATGACTGAACACCTATCAGAATGACAATGAACCGTGCATGTTTGTAAATAAGATTCGCACGTCACCAGAAAGAGCGTTAATCGAAGAAGTCTTGGTATATGTTTTGTTTTACATATAGACACACACACACTCAGCTTTATGCATGTTTTTTCATCCCGAGAGTACAAGGCCATTCACTTTATTCGCTAAAGTTAATACTCACGTTTTATTCATCTTTTAGAAGGGGATTTGTAATTGAAAATGTTATAAACTCGTATTAAGTATATTCTACGTTACGAATAGCTGAAGATTACGGTTCAGAGCTTTTATTTTATATTTTCGTGTAAACTACATATGATGGTTAAAAACAATGAAATCTATATTGATACAATAACGTCTGGAGTAGTTATAGTGTTTGACATTGTAATACGCAACAAAAAACAGTCCAATATTGCTGTAAAATATCTTAGTTTAATCTTATATACTATTTTGATTATTTGTTTATTTGTTGCAACACTTTTTTTATTTCACTAGCTCATAGATGGCGCTTGTTATTTCATACAAAAGTGTTAGGTGAGGAGTAGAGAAGTGACCTAAGAAAAAGTAAGATATTTAATCGTTTTCTGCATAGAAAGCACCATAAATTAGTACTGGGTAGAATTCATAATAATTTTTGTTGTTTGAAATTACATAAACATACTAGAAGTATGATCCGTGAGGAGGATCGATGAACATTTGATCATGTTACTAGACTGTTAATATTCTTAAACTAGAAAGTTTCATCTAGTGGAAGATGGAAGTTACCATTTTCATGATGTCAAGTTGTTTGAGAAATTTTGGGAAATAAAATCTGATTATAAAAAAGGAGGGTGAAATAGAACAATAGCGTTTTAGTTAAACTTTTGAAAGCCTGAAGTCTCGAAAGTTTGGTAATCTTCAAGTCCAAATAATATTCGGATATTTAAGCTTCAAAACATTAACTACAAAACTGCAGCAAATTATTCTCACGCTCGGGGTTGAAGGGGAAAAATTATTCCACACACACAAGTTGGAAAGAGCAGGCAAGTATAATATTGCTTTCTCTTCCATCAAACTAAAATACTGTCACGTTTTTTGCTGTTTTTTTCTACAAAACTTACTAGTTGTTATGACAGCGGAAGCCACGTGACGCTGGTAACACGTAATGAGTATCTAGAAGGTTCGTGAAGGCTCGAGTGTTTGCCAGACTTTGCTTTGTTTGTTTGTTTGTTTTGAATTTCGCGCAAAGCTACACGAGGGCTATCTGCGCTAGCCGTCCCTAATTTAGCAGTGTAAGACTAGAGGGAAGGCAGCTAGTCATCACCACCCACCGCCAACTCTTGAGCTACCCTTTTACCAACAAATAGTGGGATTGACCGTCACATTATAACGCCCCCACTGCTGAAAGGGCGAGCATGTTTGGTGTGATTCGAACCCGCGACCCTCAGATTGCGAGTCGAGCGCCTTAACCACCTGGCCATGCCGGGCACCCGGACTTGCTGTATTATAATATATAAGCCCGACAATCAAAGCGGGAGGGGATTAATCGGAACCAGACAAGTATCAGATAAACGGATAACTACAGATTCGTTCAGGAAATAATAAGAGTGATTCTGAATCGGAGAATTTAACTAAGCTTTCCTAGTGTGTTTGTAAAATAATGAGTCTGGACAAAGTTGGTAAAAATGAAAACAGTCTTCATTATTTGACAAACAAAAAGAAAACGTGGCCTAAGTACTTCTGCATAGAAAGAGACAGTGGAATGTATGAAGCTGTGCTTAATCCTAAAACTTTCACTCTTTCGGGATTGATCTCTGTAGAACTAAAACACAATGATTATCAAGTACCATCTTCACTCTACGATTTAGAAGTAGAACTGAACCGAGAATTCAAATAAACTTGATTTCTTTGTCCAGTCGACAACGTCACCTCGCAACCTTTGTTATCTTTCAGCATTGATCAGCTGTTCCACTTATAGACAACGTCAATTCGGCCAGCAAAAAATATAACTGTTTTGATCCATTCAACCTGGATAATATATGTCACTAAAATATTCTCTCGGTCAGAATAGACTTTATCTACTATAGAGAACAAAGAAATAAAGCAAATAGAGCAAGTTAGTATCAACGACAATCTAGTCCACGTGTTTATGCTAAACCTTCACACATTCTGAATAAAGGAAAAGTTAAAAATTCCTATATAACTAAAGCAGGTAGAATACACTTAATATGCTTGTATATCACAGCTGTCACTGTCGTATTTAGTGTGTGTGTGTGTGTGCTCACTTGTTCTGTATTATTTGTAGGTTGCTTTAGCCGCACGACACACTACCGTGTGTCTGGATATATATATAAGAAAATACTAGAATATCAGACTATTACATTTTCCCCTCCTTTATAAATTTCTTCCACCGGTTTTGTGACTTCAAAGGTCACTTTTCAGGATATAATCTACTGAGAATCTATAAAAAAAAAAACCATTTAAATACTCT